AGGTCCATGCCAAAATACCACACGCCCCTGAAGGATGGAGCACCAGATCTGGGAGAGGATCTGGCAAGGGGAGAGGTCAAACCTAGCATTTCAACCCTGGAAGCTCCTTCCTGCAACACTCCAAAACTTCTTATGGGAAAGCTGCACCTACTCCTGAGACAAACAAGAGCTCAGCTCTTGTTGTGATCACAAAGCATCTCTGCACTCTTCCCTTACCAGGCTTCATCTGGCAGCTTCAGAGAACACACAAACAGGAGCAGCCTACTGCAACAAAACATGGGAAATACTGAGACCAAATTAAATAAAAAAAATAAAAATAAAAAAAAGAAATAAAAATTATGAAATTGCAGCTATATGAAGAGTAGGGAAAATCAGAAGATTTCAAGCACCTTATCTGGTGCAGGAAAGAAGTGCTGAAGGTCATGTTCCATCATTTCTAGTTAGAGCTTCTTGAATCATTCCTTTTTGGGAGCAGGGGCCAAATCAGTGTCTTGGAACATTATGTACTGTCTAGTAGAACACTAGGAATACACTTTTTTATTTTTTTTTCTATTTACTTTTACTGAAATGCAAATACAAAATGAGTAATTTTTAATTTAAAAAAATATTTTAAGAATTGATGTCTGATTCAGGACTTGATTTTTAGAAATGTCCAAATTCAGACTGCATGTTTGTAGGACAAGTACAATCTCCCCTTTAGAACCTTACACATCTTTAGGTTTGGGTAATGAAGAGTGTCATGAATTCATTGATGATTTCCCTTTGCATCTCAGGAACAGTTAAACATATCTCACATCTGTCAGATTCCTGAGTTTTCAGTTCCAGCCTCCATACTACATACTCATCACAATTAATATTAATTGGTAATCAAACAGAAAAGCACCTGAAGCAAAGAAACAGAACAGAAATAACCTTTTTATTCCCACTAGGCAAGAACTCAGACTTGGCAATAGGGCAATGTGTTTACCATTTATGTTTATCCTGTACATAATAAAAGATTTGTCCAACCACAGTGAATAGTTATTTTTTCATCAGCATTTTTGTTTTTCAAATGGAAGGTTTTTATCTTATGCAAAATTGCATTAACCATGTATAATGACTTATTCAGTGATTTGCATAAACATCTTCCATGGCGTGCACAAAACTTGACAGCTGTGATTTGCTTTACCCATGCATAAATAACAACAAAATTGGCCCAAAGACTTTTACTTCACATTTTAAATGTGAAGCCTAACAGGGCAAAGAGAAAGGTTATCACTTCCAGAAACACTGGAAGACCACTTAGCCTAGACCTAGCAAGGAGACACTAGAAAAGAAAAGACAACAACAAAAACAAAAAGCTAAGAAAAGAATATAAAATTCCCAAATCACAGGAGATTTATAGTCAATATATTGACTTAAGGGCTGAATGGGACATAAATCTAGTCACAAGGGATAAATCAATAGATGTTTCTTTAAAATGGTAAAGAATATTTTCAGTGTTTTGAGAACTCAATATTTAAACTAGCCACCATTTGTATACTAGGAGAGCATACAAATATTTCACATTTTTTAAATAAAACTGAAATATTTTCAAAATACTTTTAGGATTCTACAGTAATTTAAAGTACCTTAAAATACTTTTGGTTAATCTATTCTATGGTTAAATTTAAGATACTGTTGAAGTCTACACAGGGTAGTCACTGTCTGGAATTTACTGAAGGTTTATTATTTGCTTCTTTGTATAATAATTTGTAGCTATTTAAAATGTGCATAAAAGTAAATTTGGCTTCAGTCTAGGTGAGTACACTGTGCCAATGGAAAGGCAGGTTCACTGTCTGAGGAGATGATTTTCTTTAGATTTAACCAGCACTCAGAAGGTGGGAGGGTATGGAAGAAAATGACCTGCATGACCTTTGCCTTCTTGCACTCTCAGGTCTGGACCATTTAAGTACTTTAGTCAAAGTATCCTCTTTAAACAATACAGGCTTTATTTAGACAATAAGCTGATCAAGCAGACAGGTTAATTATTTGCCTTCAGCGGGATATGCCCATTGGTCACTGCTGAGAATCAAAACTACTTTTGAAGTAAGTTCTACAAAACAATAATGTAATGTGAATACAGAAGTCAAAATTGAACCATTCAGTGAAAATCATTGAGTAATAAGACTTAAATATTTAGGACAGCTTTTGGATAGCAATCTCTTGAGCTACTAATTATTTACTTATTTAGTTGCTTAGTAAGAAGGTAGCAGAAATTATGTTACCACCCTTATGCTAAAAAAAGTTTCACAGCATTTGAGTTAAGAGCAGCCTGGCCTCGACAGTAGTTTGCTGTACCGGAAGGCAGATAGCATAGCACAGGAAAAGAGCCTAGAGGCATTAGTGTAATCCATCGAGGTTAAAGTAGGAAAGCTAAAATTATTTAATACTTTTTAAGCCCACAGTACAGTAAATGGTCTGTTGCTAGGAAGCAATCCTGGCTAAAAATACAGCTCTTTTTAATATGCTGACTTTACGTCTGAAGAATGCCGGAAACGGGTCTCACTGAAGGCACTTCTCACGCTCCTCCTCTCATTCCATAAGAGTCCCCAATTCACATTCACAGATGTATGAACATCAAGTGCTCCTCAGCCTGGAGGTTGTGTTTGACCAAGGAAAAGACAAGCTCAACAGATGGATGATCTTTACTAACACCTTGTCAGGAGTGCCCATTTCACAAGACCCATGGTAATAAGTAAAAACTCCTTAAAATTATAAGATTTAAAGTTCTGATCCCCAAGTCTGACCATAGATTTGACATCATGAAGGAAGAATTTTCTCCCGGGAACCTGAGAACCCTGGAAAAGGCTGCCTGGGGACATCCTCTGGAGGAAACTGAGGGATGCAGTAAATGTTCCCAAGCCCTTCTTTGTATACCATGAAAAATTCCCATAAATAAAAGCATTTGACTGTCCTAATTTACAGCTGTAAACAGATGAAGCAATCCTTGGAGATGCAAATTAAAAATTAAGAACCTCAGAAACAGAAAGCAGGACGTGGCAGTAACAGTCCTGAGGAGTTGCACCATTTAGCTCTCAGAGAACTGACCAGTCCAACAGTAATACTGGACCAGTAAGTTCAGCACTGTTAAGAAACACAAAGCACCAAAACACGACTTGCAAGGGATGAAAGTGCCACGAAAAACTTTAAAAATGTGACCCCAGACCTATCAGGAGGGTCTGGATGAAGCCACAGTTGTTACATTTTGTGCAACAGATAGACAGCCACACTTCAGAGGATAAACAATATATTGATAAAAGAATAAGATATGTTACCCTAAGCACAGACTTGCAAAGGTACAGTGAATTACTGTAAGTCACTTGAAGACTTTGAGCACACAGTATCACACTGGTCTGTCTATTCGACAGTGTTTAGTGAATGCATTCCTTAAGTAAATTGTGACACAATCTGTATTTCTCAGTAGCTTCCCAGTGTCTCTGAAAATGCATGTGAAAGCAGAAATTGATGGTAGCTTTAAAATGAACAGTAAATAATGTATAATGTTTTTCTTTAATTATTAGATAAACTTCCTGTTAATAATTTCTGTTATTGCTGAATTATTTTGAAATTGAGCTTTATTTTTTTTATGTTTTTACCCTGCAAACCTTTCTTCTTTCTAGGTAGTTTTCTGATGGAAAGGAAGATAGGTTTTCACAGCTAGTTCCACCTTCAGATTTTCAGAAGGTTTATTATTTTTTTGCCAAAATCCTCTTGTCCTGTCTTAAGTAGAGAATAGCCTGGCCACCCTTTCAACTTAGAACCGAGCTTGTCCCCACCCAACAGGCAAGTAATTGTCTCTCATGTTCATAAACATTACATTTGGTATCCTGCACTTATCAGTCAGCAAACAGTCCTCTCTGCATCAGTGAGGTATAAAACTACCTCTTATTCTTTAACACATTGACTACTTGGCATCTTTAGGGAGGAATTTTTTCTCTTTGGATTTAATATTCTCTGTCAATTTGCACATTACAACAACACAAGAAGTGGACATCTAACTAGGCTACTTTTTGTGTAGTCTGATGCAAGCCATGGCTGATAGCAGAAATAACAGGTAACATTCACTTTGGAAGCACAATGGTTTTGAATAGCCTTCTTCAGCCTCCTCCTTTTTAGTAAGGCACATTCATACAAGAAAAATCCTATCAGAATGTATACAATAAATAGTTAATTATGGACTTGAGTCCATAATTTTACAAACTACAGTGTGGAAAGTCTTGAAAATTTCAACCTAAACTACTGTTTTAACAGTTCCATTAAATCTTGTGTTAATGACAAATGCACCTGGGTCAGGGCAATTGCAATCACAGGTGCAGGCTGGGCAGAAAATGGACTGAGAGCTGCCCTGAAGAGAAGGACTTGGGGTTGTTGGTGGATGAGAAGCTCAAGAGGAGCTGACACTGCACCTGCAGCACAGAGAGCCAATTGTGGGCTGCATGAAAAGCAGTGTGGCCAGCAGGGTGAGGGTAAGATTTTCCTCTCTGTTCTGCTCTGGTGAGACCCCAGTCTGGAGTGCTGCACTCAGCTCTGGGGTGCCCAGAGCATAAGGACATGGACCTGTCAGACTGAGCCCAGAGGAGGCCTCAGAGATGATCAGAGGGCTGGAGCATCAACCACCAACTGTGTGAAGACAAACCAAGAGAGCTGGGGCTGTTCAGCCTGGAGAAGAGAAGTCTCCAAGGAGACCTCAGGTTAGACTTCTAGTATCTAAAGGGACCTGACAGGAAATTTCCTGGAGAGGAAATTTTACAAGATATGCACTGATAGTACAAGCAGAATGGCTTTAAACTGAAGAAGGGGAGATTTACATCAGACATTACGAAGAAATTCTTAATTGTGAAATTGAAGAGGCACTGGAACAAGTTTCCCAGAGAAGTCATGAATGCCCCAACCTTAAGTTGAAAGACTTCCACACAACTTTGCAATTAACTAATCTGAAATGCCTGAGTTACTGCTAAAGAGCTTTTCCATTCCTTTACCTTAAAAGTGCTGTATATACAACAAAGAATTTACACCATCACAAGGAGAACATCATTTCGCAGATCCCATGTGTTCATTACTTGTGATGTAACTTGCATCATGAGGAGTTCCTTTTCCTTGAAAACTGTAGAGTACAAAAATACAGTAGTTTCCATTAGTGTGGGAACATACCACATTTCTCATAGGATTCGAAGTATTTCCCCTAGCAACAATAAAGTTACAGAAAAGATACAAGGGAGTAGTTAAAAGTATTGGCTATAAGTGAAAAGAAGTCCTTAATTTACTATCATGAGATAGTCAAGTGACATACCAGTCATAAATGTGCAAAAATTACTCCAGTGATTTAGACTAACTGGGTCTAGATTTCCACTTATGTGATTTTTTAATTATTTTTTTTTTCTAAAGAAGGCAACGTGCATATTTTTAAGATTTTAGTTATAAACAAATTTCAAAAGATGTACTTTGAAAAATAAACCAGAAACTTTGTCCCTTGGAAGAGGTCACTGACAAAACATCTCTTAAAATAATCTCTCTCCAATTTACCAAGATGATAAGGGAAATTTACAGGAAAGGCTGAAATTCAAAGGCTGTTTCTTCACAAGTTCTTAATTCACCCACAAAACATAGTTTAAATTAAAACCTGCATCCTTACTGAGATCCAGTCCCTTAGCACATTGTTGTCCCAGCAGCAGTTCAGATTTAGAGAGATGCCAGTGCCTCATTTACCCATCAGCACATGAACCCTTTTTCTCCCTCTCCCACTAAACTTGCACATGTGTGCACACAGTGTGCAGGTAACCCTATCAGGTGATGTAAGACCTGATATTACCTGGGAACACTGGCAGACATACCAAAATCAGGGCAAACTGGGAAAAAAAGCGATTAGGGGACAGCTGTTTTTATGGATGAGAATCAGGGTGGGTAAAGGCAAGAACTTAGGAGGAAAGAAGGGATAATGAGAAATGGCAGATCAATGCAGTGAATGGTATTTGGGGGTACTTATCAAGTGACCCCAAATCTGGGTCCTTCCACTAGCAGTTCAGAAATCAGGGTGCTGGGTTAGACAGTGCTAGGCTATTACAGGGACTGGCTTTGCTTCAGACAGAGAAGTATTTCTCTCCTCAGAGCTGCCCCACTCCAGCAGCTGAACACTCCACACGGATCCCTCCAAAGCCCCACAGAGCAGCAGTGCCTGGTCACACCAGCCAGTCTGCAGGCCCAGGGACTGCAGCCCTGGGGGCTGCTGCTGCTCACGGGACTCGCTGATACAAAATAAACTTCCCACTTGTTTTGATAAGGTGAGACATCAGTTTTATTCATTCAGAAGACTTCCAATCCAACAGTGTACAAGAGGTGATTGACTGAAAACTTGAGATTTTCTGCTAGAGGAGAACAGGCCAATATAGAGGAGAACAGGCCAATAACATACGCACTACAGTGCAGCCCACATACCCTGTTGTGCAGCCCACATTCCCTGCCATCCCTAATGAAGGTGAAAAGACTGAAATGTCTGATCTGGTGACAGTAGAGATACTGTGTGACTGATGCTATTTTATTCATCACAAATATAGTATAACCATACTTCCCATTGTCCTGCAGTTACACAGCACACAGAGATTACATCAGAACAGATAAACTGATTTCAAACATTCAGAGATAATTACTTAACCTTACAGGACAATATTAAGCATTTGACAGAGCTGACGACATTTGAAATGATACTTGAGAGTACAGTTTGTTCAGAACAAACTTGGAAAGTCATTTAATAGATTTTGCTCTACCTCTGTGTCATTCTGCCAGGAACTGAAGAGCACAGCCCCGTTCTGCCCTGTCCTCTCTCCTGCTGCTTTGTTGGCCAAAGTGCTGGGAACACTTCAAAATAGCTGGCAATCCAACACTTTTCTACTTACTCTTCATATCGAAGCTCGTAGGAGAGCTCAATTAAGTTTATGAGCTGTTGTAAGTGACCTTGAAAGGGCCCAAAAGTCAGTGCTGAAATAGCTGGCACTCAGCTTGTTTTATTTCTGTTTACAATGGGAAAAATTTCCTAACACAATTTTCTGTGATATTGAGAAGCATTTTACAATTATAATAAAACAACAAAAAATTGTTGAAACTCTTAAAATTAAAGCTATTTAAGTTGAAGTATTATAGACCCTATTACTACATTAGTAATATATTAATACTACATTAAGAATTTTTAACTGTTCAAACTAAATATATATTTTTTTTGTTTTCATGAAAGAATACAATTTATCACTTGCTGAATTTAAAATCTGCTACAGCTGGAAATAGGTGACGATGTTTCTTCTTCCTAAAAAAATCTTGTCCTAAAAATATGTTAAGAGAAAATTAATATCTATTCTGTAGTTATATTTTGCCTCTTTAACTTTATTCTCTATTGTTAATGACTAAAAAGAATATCATGACATATTAATGTCTTCCAAGCACAATATTCCATGTACATAAACACACCAAGTACTTACAAATTCCCTTTTTGTCAATGTTTAGAAAGAGATCAAGACATTAAATACAATCTCAATTTCTATACAATAGAAACTATGATATAAATTACAAGGAAGTGTTGCTTTTTTAAGTGATAAATGAAACAGAACCAAAAAATTAGTTGTGTGCTCTGTCAGAAACATGCTACAGTATATAAGCAACTTTAAAGTCTGCATATCAAGGTTTTTGTGAGAAGAAAAAAGGAGTTCTTGAATTTGAGTGCTGTACAATGGTGCTTCTGCTTCATATTCATCTGTCTGAATTTCAGCAGACCATATTAACAGCTGTACTAATTTCTGACAATTAATAAAGGCAATAATTATGCTGAGGCATTCCAGCAACATCCCATTTCACTAACAGGCAAGAACAGCTCGAGAACTAGACTGAGATTATGGTTTATAGAGAGTAAATAGTTTCTCAAAAGTTTTCATATCTGATTCATGGCTTCCAATACGACATAAATAAAGAAGTAACTATCAACAGCTGGGATAGCAGTACTTTGTTTTTGCTATTCCCTTTGTGCTTTTGGGATTTCATTCTGGTTTTTCTGATGTCTTTAGATAATTCTTGCATCTTCAGGGAGGAACTCTGAACTTCAAGGACATCTGAATGGTCCTTTTCAGACAAAGAAAGAGTAAGAACATTTGGTACTTGGATTTCAAAAACATGAAATCACATTCAGAAGTGCAGCTATGAACAAATCTGTAAAATATTATCTTTTATATTAGTGCACTCAATTGACCCAACACAGTTATATGCCATTTTTTGGGTTGTTTGTTTTGTTTGTTTTTTTCTTTTTTTAACGAGAGCTGCCTCTCAGTCTTAAGGAGATTATGCTCTTTGAATGCATCTATCCCAAATTGTTTACTGGTCTTATTTTAAGAAGTGGCATTTACTGTTACTTAACAAAAATGTAATTCTTATTCACAATAGGAGTACCTCATATACTAGGCAGTGCTTTATGTGTTCCAGAGAAGCACATGAGCGAGGCTGAGAGGGATCACAGAGGGTCGTCAGATCCAACCTCCCTGCTCAAGGAGGGCTATCCCAGAGCACGTGGCACAGGATTGTGTCCAGGTGGTTCTTGAATATCTCCAGTGAGGGAGACCCCACTCTGTCTCTGGACAGCCTGTTCCAATGCTCAGTCACCCTCATGGAAAATAAGTTCTTCCTCATATTGAGGTAGAGCTACCTGTGCATCAGTTTCTGCCTGCTGCCTCTTGTCCTATTGCTTGGCACCACTGAGAAGAGCCTGGTCCATCCCCTTGACACCCTCTCTTCAGATACTGAGAAAAGGTCTCTTCTCAGTTGTCTCTTCTCAAGGCTGAACAGGCCCAGCTCCCTCCTTTCTTCAACATGGGGTAGATATAGAAGGAAATCTGACAGTGAAACCTCCGAATTACTGGAAGACTCAATGGAGTCTCTATTAACAGAAAATATCAAAATGCCTGTTGAAGTTTATCAAATTTAATTTACTTAATAAATTCACTACAAATATTGTGCATTCAAAATCCAGGTTCTGTAACATGGGGCAAATCTCACAGAGTGGGATTTTCCGGGAAGAAAAGCCAAAGACATGTTGAAACGAGGAAAAAGCATTTCGCCTGGAAATAGGGCGAGAATTCAATATACTGTATCTATTATACTTCTCTGATACTTATTTACCAAAGCCAACATAAATTGAAAGAAATTAGGAAGCACAGGAGGAGGTCAGGCGCACAGGCCTCACTGACAGGCTCTAGGTACAGATCCAAACTTTTAAATTCTTGAATTCTAGAGCTTTTATCATTCTATTCTTTCCTGTTTTTCAGGCTGAATTATCTTCACTCCCTAATGTCCTTTGAATCTCTTCTCTCATTTCCACAATGTTTCCACTGAAATGAATGACTGAAAGCATTTATAAATTGTGTGTAATAGAAAAGAGATTTTCACTGCCAGTAGCATATACTTCCACATAAGTAACCTGTTATTTGCACTTTTTCTTCTCCCCATGTGGGACACACCTTTGCATATCTTTGTCCAGATTTATCTAGTCTAATAATCAACTGTTATATTTTGTGTTAACAAATGTTGATGCTATTTTTATTCTAAAGAGGACATCTTACTGACACAGCTTACTGACAGCTGATGATCATCCACACTGATGATCTATGTTATCTGTGTTATATGTGCTGCTGTGTTTTTTTTATTCTAGTAATTTTTATCACAGCTTTTGCTACCATAATAAATGATAAAAATGCATTTGGTTTCGTTTTCTGCACAGTGTTACATTCAAATTGCTTCTAAATACTCAAAAACAATTTCCAAAAAGGAGATTCTGGCTATAGCTTCCTTCAAGAACACGTGCCTTACTTGTGTAAAAACAGAACTTAAGAAGACTTCTAAAGTAATCAATATCTCCTGTGAATTCAGTATAAACTAAGTAATGATTAAATAAAAATATTATCCTATGAATGAATATACATATCAATAAATAAACAGATAAAGAATCCTTTGAGCATCTAATGACTAAACTGCCATGAAATTCTGATAAATTGTATCCATAAATTTATTACTAAAATATGGGCACATTTCTTGAACATTTCTCAAGAGCCTTTTTCATTGTATGCATAATTATCA